ATGCATTCTTTTTAGAATTAAACAAAATCATATATTTATATAGAATATGTATTTATAAAAAGTATATTATGAAAGTATAAAATTTAAATAAAACATTTGTATTAATAATAAAAAGTCACATCTGAATCGTTAAAAATAGCTTTTATTATATAAAATAATTATAAAAAATCATATCTAAACTGTCAAAGGCAGCTTTTATTATATAATATAATAATAAAAAATCACATTTTAACTGTCAAAAGCAGTTTTTATTATATAATATAATAATATAAAATCACATTTAAACTGTCAAGTGCGAATTTTATAATATAAAATATAATAAAAAATCATATCTGAACTGTTAGAGGTGGCTTTTATAATATAAAATAATAATAAAAAATCACATCTGAATTGTTAAAAGTAGTTTTCATAATATAAAGCAGTATAAAAAGTCACATCCAAACTATCAAACACAGCTTTAACTTTAAAATAATTTATTATGTATTATAATATTAAAATATATAAAATCATGTGATAGTGTATTATATAAAAAAATTTTATATAACCAGAATTGAAAATTGTTGCATTTTGTATAATAGAGAATTTAGTTCTAATTTAAGACTAAGCTAAATAGTGTATTTATAATGGATGTGCATTTATTATAAGTACATTTATAGAGAATTAATTGTAACTAGGTAATGGAAACTATTAGAGTATCTGAAGCATTTATAACAGTAGTACTATAATCTAATTTTAAGTACAGTCAAACCTTGATATAGTGAACCCTTGATATAGCGAATTTTTAAATCAAATATATTAAAATTACCTTACTATAGTGAACTAGCCAATTAAATTCTTTAAAAAATTCGTTATAATCTTATAACGAAGTTGATATCCAGATCCTAGAATTCGTTATATCAAGAGTTCACTGTAGTATATCACTCTTTAATATAATTATATTAAAGAGCGATATACTGTTAAAGTTTTTGTGAATTGAGAATGTATGAAATTAAAGAAATTTATTAAGTAATCTAAGATCTTTACTAGTTTTGAATTCTTTTAAAAGGTATATTATGAATTTATTAAAAAATATGTTTAATGAAAAACAAACAAATATTGCAGTTATTTTTGGTGGTTTACAAGTAAATTACAGCAAGTAATTAACAAAAATTTTAAAGAAATTTACATCAATATTATAATGATTGAATAAGTTTTGAAGTTCATAAATTAACATCTTTTGAAAAAATCAAAAAACCTTTATATGTTAATGTTGCTAATTGGTTAGTTGGTAGGGTTCCTCAAAATCGAATTGAATCAATTTGAATTTGATTTGATTTTTTCAAATTGAATTGAATTGAATTGAATTGAACTCAATATTTGATCAAATCAAATTGAATCAAATTGAATCAAATATTTGTCAAATCAAATCAAATCAAATATTAAATTTTTTTTAATTTTTACAATGATATATTAAAATAAAGTTATTCTAAAGTTTTAGTTAAGAAAATTATTAGTAATTGCACTAAAAAATTTTAAAGATAGCTTTTACAAAGTAAAGTAACAGGTGGATTTTTATTATTAAACTTAATAAAATAATTCTGTGATTTCAGTTTTACTAAGAAAATTTAGTAATAATTGCCATCTTGGTTTCGTAATAATTTTATTAGTAAAAAAACGTTTTTGAAGCTGTGAACGTGTTTTTTACTATGTTTCTTAGTAAAAAACGTCTCTAAAGCTGCGGAGGCATTTTTTACTATATTTTCTTAGTAAAAAAGCATTTCCGAAGCTATGGAGGCACTTTTTACTATGGTTTTCTTAGTAAAAAATGCATTTTTAAAGTCGCAGAGGTGCTTTTTACTATGTTTTCTTAGTAAGAGCCACTCCTAAAGCTTTGAAGATAGCTTTACTATTGATTCAAATCAAATCAAATATTTGAATACTTGATTTGAATTTGAACAAATTGAATCAAACATTAATTTGGATTTGATTAAATAAATCATTTTTTGATTTGAATTTGATCGACTCAAATATTCAAATATCAAATTGAATTGTGAAACCCTACTAGACATTAAGATATTCAAGAAAACAAGTTAAAAATGTTAATTTTAAGCTTTGTAACTGATATATTTTACAAAATTCTAGGATTTTATTTTGCCATTAAATTGAGTTATATAAGATGTTAAATACGAATAAACTATTACACAAATTCCTAAAAAGAAAATAGTTGGCTGTTGAAAATTAAAAATTATCAAATGTATTACACAAAATTTCCAAAATAGTAATTTGTGTAAAATCAATTCACGTGAGTCAATTTAATCAACTTAAGTTGAAATAAGTCGAGTTAATTTATTGACTCGACTTAATTAATAACTTGACTTAAGTCAAATGAGTCAGAAAATTTTTGACTTGAATCGACTCATTTGACTCATGAGTTAACTTGATTCATTAGGAACTCTAGTAACAATGATAATATTCAGATTATAGCGTTATTTAGAGTATATGGTGATATTTAGATTATATAATTTAGAATAAGTAGGATATCATCATAAAATATAATTATATTTTATGGTGGTATTCCATTTAATAGAAAGATATGAAACTAAAGATAGGAAATATAATTAATATGTTACAACTTTTAATGTTACAACTTTACGTTGTAATTAATTTTAACTTATATATGTTTTAACAATTTGTAATTTGACACTAATTACTGCATCATCTTTATATGAAACACTAAATAAATTTTTTTTGAATTAATGTTAAATTTCAACTTATTTTATTAAAAAAATCATATTTAGTTTATAAAGTAAAATTTTAATTTTTTTAGAGTTTTGTATTTTTCTATTATGAAACACCGATATGTTATCAATCTTATTAGAAGTAAAGTATCCTATACTATTATATTATTTTATCTAAATTTTAATGTAGGTTTGACAAGAATCTACTTATTATTAAAATAGGTTATTCTTAAGTAAGGATGCTATCCTAAACTACCAAAAATTAGTTTCGGTTAAACAAAACTAGTTTCGGTAGTTTCGGCTATTAACTAAACTAGTTTTGACACATAACTAAACTAGTTTCGGTAATTCTAAACTACGGAATTTTAGTTTCGGACAGCAACACTATTCTTAAGTCTAAAATAAAATTTATATATAAAATTCTTTAAATATTACACTTAACTCTTATATTTATTCCATTTTAATATAAGATCTTCTTGATTCTATATTCAATATCTTTTCTATTTTTAGTTATTTTTGGATTGCTATAACATTAGTATATCAATTGTAATAAACTGCTAATTCTATTATCATTAGTAAGGCAAACATATATATAAGAGTCTGTTAATAAAATAATATTACAAATCATATGATTCACTATATCTCATGACTTGATTTTATTAGAAATATTTCCATATATTTGTATATCAATTATTTTGTCATTCATATTTTATATTATTATATTAGTCTTTTTAAATTTTGATGCTTTGGATTCTTTTAAAAATATTCATATTTATCATATTTACTTTCTTATTTAATAGTTTATATTATATAATATTTATTATTAAATATAAAAAGTTTGTTTTAGGTTAAAATTTTTCAATAATTTAATTAGTATTAATAATTATTGATTTTAAGCTATTCTAATTGTAAAGTATTAATTAGATAAAGTCATAGATCTTTAGATAAAACTTAAAACTTTAGAAACTATTTAAAAATATATAGCCTAATTAAGTAAGCAAAATTTAAGATAAATAAAAAGTTATAATTAAAAAGTTTTAGTTAAAATAAAATTATTAATTACAAAATGTTGCTTCTAGTAAATATTACCTAATGTTGATTCAAATTTATTTTAGTATACATTATTATGTAATAAGATGTAAATTTGTAGATATTGAGTTATTGTCCCACGCTCAAAGAATAGAGATTTTGGAAAATAAAGCTGATGAGCAATTTTTTCCCGTGATTAATGATGCTGATGGTAAAGTTACCGAGAAAAACAAAAGGAACATATTATAAATATTACTTTTTCTCCTTTACAGCAAATAGTCTGGGAGATTTTCCAATCAAAACTAATATACGGCAATAAATTTGTGTAATCTATTTAAAATTTTTTGAAAGTTGTGTAACACAAAATTTTTAATTACCAATCGAATTTATCAAATTTATAATGTCGGCCTGAATTATAAATTTATGATGAACAGTTCGAATTCATGATGATCCGTGTCGAATGGTAGTATATTCAGGTTTCTAGCATCAATAGATAATTAGATATTTCAAAATATTTCTAAAAACATTATTCGTTACAGTAATAACTTGGGTGCTAGAAATATGAATTTACTATCATTGGACGCAGATGATTCCAAATGACGTGCCTCAGCTTTCTACGATCACTGGATTGGCAGTTATTTTTTATTTAAAATTGTTATTTAATTGGAAGGATTAAATCAATTTAATTAGCTTATTATTTTGAAGATTATAATATATTATTATTTTTCTATTTAACTTAAATATTGACCAATCATAATGTCTGCTAATTTGAATTCAAAAAAAAATTTTTTAAATACGCCGATCATTATTTATTGATGGTCTCTTTGAACATAAAACAGATCCTTATTATTTTATATCTTATATAAAACAATCAATGGTAATAATAATCGGATGATTAATCTTTGAGATAAAACAACAGCTAATATTGGTCTGATAGATTGGTAGGTCATTAAACATGACCTGATTATCAAAAATGCACATTAATCATCAATAGATCGACGAGATAAAGTCAGATAATAATTAATCAGCATAGGCTTAACCAAAAAAAGTCGATTTCTAGAAATATAAAAAACGCCGAATCATATCATATCGGTATTTAACGGAATGACTCTCCTTATCCTTATGATACTCATGATAATCATTTTCGACAACAAAATTATTATAAATTGATTCGATTTCTCGAGTAAACCTTAAAAAAGTTCTCAAACTTTTTCTTTACTTTTCATCATTTTTTTAATTCATATTTTTTAAAAAATGTTATCAGAAATTGTAACACTCTCGCCCATAAATCTAATTTTATTACCCATAATTGGATTGTTAACCTACATTGCAATATTTTATTTTCGTTATTTTAATCGAACCAATCCATTACCTGGTCCGATACCCTTACCATTTATTGGCAATGTACTACAATATCCCGGAGATGCTGGAAAATGGGCAAATCAATTACAATTAATATACGGCGATATATTCGAAATTTACTTGGGAACTACAAGAACCATATGTTTATGTCGAGCAAATCTAGTAGAAAATTTGATGAAGTCCCAATGTTACTTACGCACACCACCAAACGATGGATTGGATGAATTTGGTGTGAGCAATAAAGGAATCATCTTTAACAGGAATTATGATGATTGGTCGTATCATCGTCGGTTCCTGCAAAAAACAATCATGACACCCAAAGTAGCCAAAGAGACTGTCGAATCCACTCAGGTTTTATTCCAAGAAATGGAAGGATTTTGGAAACGATTAGGTGATGATAAGGAGATTGATTTTGCTGGATGGATTTCTCGATTAAGTTTTGAGAATATGGTACTTTTGACCACCACGTTAAGGATAAACTCGATTACAAATTATTATAATGAAGTAAATCCACAAGATCAAATTGTTGAGCCCGAGGGAACCCTTTCAAACTCGTCAACTTATATCAATTGCGCGAAATCATTCTTTGATGGTGCCACGTTCAACTTACTCACCCCAAAAATATTAAGACATTCTCCGGGCATAAAAGGAACAACAAAGTACTTGTTGAGTCAGAAAAATTGGCTAACCACAAACCTTTTGGGAATTATTAAAGCAAGAAGAGCTCAAATTGAAAATTCAACGGAAAAAATTGACACTCATGATATTCTTACTCAATTCTTGACCATTAATACCGATAAGGATGTCACCCAAAGTATTGCTGATGACAAACATCCAGGGAGAATGAGTGATGATGACGTTAGAGCTAACATGACAGAAATTCTTGGAGGTGGATCTGTCACAACTCCAAGCACAATTTGTTTTGTTGTTCATTATTTGGCTCAATATCCTGAAGTTCAAAAACGAATGGTACAAGAGTTGGATAATGTGTTGGGAAGTGATCGTGATAGTCAATTCACTCTCGATCAATTAAATAAGCTTGAATATACCGAAGCAGTTCTCAAAGAAGGTTTGTAAAACATTCATACGATTAATGATTATCTTTTCATTTTGATTCTTTATCAATAATAGTGCTTTGTTTATATATGATCAGTTTCACGTGTATTTCCTTCTGTACCGGTCAATTTCCGCGCTATCTCACAACCAGATGAAATCGCTGGGCACAAATTTCCAGCCAACACACAAATTTTAATTCATATGGAAGGAATTCATCATCATCCATCCGACTGGCAAGATCCTGACGTTTTCAATCCGGATCGATGGTTAAACATCTCTTCCGGTTCAACTAAACGAAACAAGAATTCATTTTTGCAATTCGGAGGAGGTGCACGTGTTTGCCCAGGAAGAAGTTTATCTTTGGCTGAAATAAAATCTGTATTGGCTTTATTGTATCGAAAGTATGATGTTGAGCTGGTGGATAAAGCTGCTCCACTGAAATATCATTATAGCTTTAATAGACAGTGTGATGAACTTAAAATAAAAATTAAACCTAGAAGTTTAAAGTGTTAGAAGGGTGGGTGCGCAAGTTACCTTAAAAGTTAACTACGAATTTTTTATTTAGCATACTTTATTTAATGGAATATGATAGCATTCATTTTTTTCCTCTCTTTTTGGGGGAAAAAAATTCGCCGTTTAATTTGAACATTATTAGTGTTATTATTTTATTCATTTTTTAAAAATTTTATTAATAATATGTAGAAAATTAATCAAATAATTAATGACATATTTTTTGTATTATTATCTTATTCATAACATGTTGTCTGAAATCTTTCTTTTCTTGGCGCTTTAAATATGTTGATATGCTCTGATTTCATTATCCTTTCTGTTCTGATGATGATCGAGTATTATAAATACGATACGATTCTGTAAATCGGATCGTCAAAGCCAATAATTTCTTGTTTAAAAGCAAATAAAGTCTTTCTTTTTATATCATATTTTTGTCATAATCAAAATGTCTGGTAACTTTTAAAGAACTTTTATTGTGCATCTCAACGGGATCTGATTTTGTCGACGCATGACGTATGTAGTTACGTGAACATTCTCATCCAATCATCGGTCCTAATAACCACTAGGCTGATATTTAACCGCATAACTAAAATATGAAACTTTATCAGATTTTTATTTATATCATCAAAATCATGTCATGAGATATAGTAAATCATATGAATTTATAAAAAAATAAATACATAGATTTTAAAAATTGTAATTAGTCCGGAGCGTAAGCGAAGGACTATATATTTCTAGACGCATTGACTCGAGATGTCAAAAATTGAGTCAATACGTGATTGGTTACTTGAATTACACTTGTTCCGGACTTAGCAACGATCCCTGTTTCCTAGTATAATTATATTGCTTTTTACAAAAAGAAATTTATAATATGTTTATTCTTAAAATGTTATAAGGATCTATATTAATTTTATCTTTATTTAAAAATATATATACTAGGGAATGGACTCATCCTAAAAATCAAGTCCCATATGAGATTTTTTACCCGGATGAATTTAATGTACAAAATGCCGCACGATCAAATTTTATTATTAATCATGAAAAATATTTATTAAATGTAGTTAATGCATTTATCAACCCCAAATTTTACAATTGAAAAAGTACTTTATGAAATGTTTTTAATCTTTTTTTGATTTAATTTTCATTATTAGGATATATTATTGCACGATAAATTATTCTCAATTAGCAAAATTGGTAAGGCCGGATGATTCAATTTTATTTGAACTTGGTAATAATTTATTTAAAAAAAATGACATCAATGTTTACATTAAATTATATAAATTTCACATGCTTAAATAAATAAATAAATCAAACTAAAAATGGTAAATTGATAAAAGGGTTAACCGACACCTACAATCAATCTAATTTTTATCTTGAATTATAACTTTTAATCAATCTATAAGTTATAAAATTTAAAATTTAGGTCGGTGAATATGTCACTTCAATTGTAAAAATCCAAAAAATATGATATTAATTTAATGTTACACGAGATTTGTCCCTTAATTCAGCAGGAAATGCTTTTAATTAAGAGAGCATTTTCACAATTTTATATCTAAAAAAGCTAATTCACAACGTTTTCTTATATAATAACACTTGCTATTTTAATATAATTATAATAAAGGCATTTACTTTTTAAAAACGTCAATTTATTAATGAAAGAATCTTCCATCAAATTTAAAAATAAAATCCGTGTAGCGCAGCAATATTTAACAGTTCCTTCATATTAAACTTAAAATCCTTTATATATTAAGATATAAAAAATTATCTTTTAAATTGTAAATAATTTTTTTTAAAAAAAAATTAGTAAAATTTATAATTCCAATTAAATTTAAAATTGGCTTTTATAGAATTTGATCTTAAATTTTAAAATAATTCTCAAATACAAATATTATTTATTTTTAATATTTATTGCTAGAAAAATCAGATTCTAAAAATTTTTTGATTAAAGTTAAGATTTTATTATTGCATTTAATCAAATGGGAGCTTTATAATAGAAAGGGAAGAAACTCTAAAAAAAATTTTTTTTGAGTTAATGTTAAATATGGACTTATTTTACTAAAAAAATCATAATTAGCTTATAAAGTAAAATTATAATTTTTTTAGAGTTTCCTCCCTTTCTATTGCAAAGCTCCCAAAATTAATCAATTAATAGATTTTATTTAAAAAAAAAAAAAAATCACAACGAACTCATTGATGATCACGAGAATGGTACGTACCATAATGTTCCGTTCTGGTTTCGCTATAGACGATTCCGCAAATCGGAACAATTCTAAAAGAGTAAGGTTGTACCGTACTGTTGGTTTTATAAGCTGTTATGAACGTAACATCTGTTCCGTTCTTGAATCGCAAATCGGAACAATTAAGATTATGCCGTTCTACTGGTCCTACAAAATGAATTCAATTAATTTCAACGTCAGTTGATTTTCATCCGCTTTATTAAAGATACGTTACTTTATACACATATATATTTTTTTTTCAAAAGAATATAGAAAGAGAAATTCAAAATCAATTATGAAGGCTGAAATAACAATTTGATAATTTATAGCTAGCATTATTCCTTCATAATGTATAAAGTGTATACTATATAAAGCTACTTTACCCAAAATATATTAATGCTGTAACTATGAACGGGTTATTTTTTTCGTACCTCTACCTAGAATTGGTTAATATAATATAGTATCACTGAATTTTAAGATTCAACATGGTCTGTTGAGCAAATTTTACAATGTAATTATTCAATAGAGCATTCATTTTTTTCAACTAATTAAAAAGCTCTACGATATATAAACTTTTTAATATCCAAATATCAAGATTATGTATTTCCATTCCTTGCGACATTTTCATAACAGTATTCTAATACCCTTTTGCTTTTGCGATACTCTTTTTATATATTATACAGATATTTAATGAATGTTATGTTTGCTTTTTTACACTTTGCTGTTAAATAATGTTCGGATCATACGATTTAATTACTATGTTTTTAACTCAAATTTAATAGCAAAAGACCCAAATAAATACAATTGGATTGTAAAGTTTATTGTTAAACTATTTAATAAGAAGGGTGAAAGATTTTTTTTAAAAAAAGATATTATCAAAAATCCAGGGAGAAAATTTTAAGCTTCGATTTATGTGTCTTTAGCGGAAACTGCCAGAAAATGAGTTGATGTTAAAGCCGACCTGAAAACATATTTGCATATAAAGAATTCAAAACTTTTCGCACCTTAAAATTACTTGTTAGGTAATTTTTCCTTCATTAATAACAAATTGTTCATTAAATATTTGTTCTTAAAGATTCTTGAATGCATTTCGTCAAAATTTTGAAAACATTTTGTAAATTATACTTTCAAATATTCAGGACACCACCTTTTTTATACTAAAATTGCATTAAATTAAATGATCACGCAATCTTATTAAAATAAAAAATAATTTAATTTTAAAATAACGCGTTTGTTTAAGAGTGACTTTTTTTTAAAGAACAGAAATTTCTCGTTGGAAAGAAATCCATGCAAATTAAAAATAGAAATATCATATTTGATTTTCTCAAAATCATTTTAACACTACAATAATTTTTAATTCATAGTCTTCTTTATTTGAATTTTAAGATCCACATAACATAATACAAATATTTTTTAATTGAATTTAAATGACAGTGAAATAAATTAATAAGTCAAGTATTCATTTAAAAATCCATTACCACTTTTGATCGTTTTACTTTAAAAATGATAGACAAATTTAGTTTAGCAAATTATTTTGCGGAGTAAATTTCTTATGATCACCAATTTTTAAAATACAATTTTCTCATAACTAACCTCTTTTATATATTATAATGATAATGAAAGAACCATTTTTTGCGATAACAAAGTATTTTACCTTAAATTTTTCTCATAAACGCATGGTTTGATCCTTTTTGGTCAAGTCAACATAACTTCCTCCGTTATAAATAATGTCATTTTCCCACTCGTTTTTTTTACGCAGTATTACATTATGGTTGATAACAAAGTGATAAACATACATGAACAATGGTATTCGATCTTAGGTGAAAAAATATCTTTGATTGAACCCTACCATTATGTTAAGCTTAGTAAAATTTTTCCACCTCCAAAATTACCGGCTTCTAGAAAAAATGGGACTGTAATTGAAGTTCTTCCTTACATCCGACAGAAAGTAAAGATGTGGGGAGCTGATGTTCTTAGAGCAGAAAATATTAAAACTTTGATCGAGGAAGTTGATGATGTTTCTGATGAGAAGTTTTCTGATGTTGAATCAATGAATGAAGACCAAGATTTTCTGCAAAATAAAAATAAATTATCCCGATTTGATTGCATTGCTAGTTTGCTTGCATCTTCTGAATGTACTGTAACTCAGGATATCTTTCGAACCTTATCACAATTTCCAATTGCATTTCCCTTAATTATACCTGGATTAGTTGATGCAAATAAATTCAAAGTGTTGCTTCCTTTGCTTATCGGTCCAGTGATCAAATGGGAAATGAAACCTGGAACGATAATTGAAAATCATCTTTTCAGTGATCCGTTCAAAATGATTGTCGCCGTTCGGATTGGAGCCAATTCTCTGGGTAAAAGCACGATTCTTAATCAGTTGATGACTTCAGATTCTATGTTCTCCTCAAGCTGTGAGCCAAGAGCAGAATATGGGATTCCACATATGGTCAGTGGAAGCGTCGAGTTTACTGGTTAACTCAAGAAACTTGTGGCGTGGGTCTATGGAATGATGTATTTGAAAGTTACTACAAGAAAGGGGCAAAAGAAATTGTTTTGCTTGCAAATTTACATGGAGATGCCTTGGATTATCCGAATCAAATTTGATTTTTAAAGCAATTTCCATCTAGTTTCTTGGTTTTCTTAATGCCTGGATATACTGATGATCAACTTGATACTTTTGAGAAAATAGTTGATACCAATAAAATTGTATATTGTTGGGTGAATCACAAGAAGAAAAAGCATGCAGTCGACACCAAACTTTTAATGAAAGATCAAACGTTAAAAAAAGTACGACTAATGTTCAAAGAAGCTTTAGATTTTACTTCATCATTCAACGCTAATAGATTAAAGCTGAGAGAATCACTTCATCTTACTGAAGGTATCGAACTTCCAGAGTCTCAGCTTTTGATAAATTTTGTTGAAGAAAAAACTTGTCGTCATATTAAGTTGAAAGTTTTGCAGCTTCAAAGAAAGCAATCCGATAACGGTCTTCAAATTTGGGAAGAAAATGTTGAATTACAAGGTTTAATATTTTTGTATATTGATATTCTAAACCTACCTCTCGGTAAAAGAATGCGAGCTCTGGCACACCTTGAAAGAGAAGTATCCAGACTCTCTATGATAGAATCCTCTGAAGCTCGGAATAAAGCTGTATCAAAAAGAGAAGAATTACGTAAATCCAGCTTAGTCAATAGGAATCAAGAAAGTGAGCAAAGTATTAAAAGAGAAATTGCAAAAATTTGGGCAGAAGTTGATAATATGAGTTTAGGTATGGAGCACTTCTTCCGCGAATTGGGCAGAATCTATAGAATTTTTTCCGTTCATTTTCAATCGCACGATATTGTTGTGAAGCTACCTCAACTTTATGCTGAACTGCTGATTAGCGGTCACATTATAGAGTTGCTTGATGGTGACACTGGTGCTATATCTGAAGCCTGGTTCTCGGCTATTTGTAACTGCATCTGTAAAAAGTTTCCAAAGCTTCGAATTTTTGTGATCAGCATACTAGGTCTACAATCATCGGGAAAGTCAACTCTTTTGAACGCTCTCTTTGCATGTAGATTTGCAGTTTCTGTTGGATGTTGTACGAGAGGTCTATTCATGCGTCTATTATTCTTGGAAAAAAATTTATCAGATCAACTCGGTGTTGACGCCTTTGTCTTGATTGATACTGAAGGTCTTGGTGCATCAGAAAAAATGGATGATCCGGAATCAGAAAAGAAAAATCGTATCTTAGCAACTTTTGCAATGGGCGTTAGCAATTTAACCATTCTCAATGTACTTGGAGAATCAACCCGAGACTTAACTGAGATCTTACAAATGGCTATTGTGACAATGGCTCGTCTTGAAAAGGCCGAGATGGCACCTGATATTCTTATGGTACAACATATATCTGAACGAAATAAAGCAAAACTTTCTGAACCAGAAGAAAAGTTTCGAATAGCTCTGCAGGAAGCTTTGAAAGTAGCCGAAGAACAAGACATTGAGATGGGAATTTTCAACACAAAATGTCTTCATATTCTTGATGAAAGAATAAAAAAAGGTCAGCTCCTTAAACAATTTCGACCATTTAAAAATGGTGCAACTGTCTATGCCCCACCTTCAGAGCAATATCACGAGGATGTTGTCAATTTATATGAATCCATACTTGCCGATTGTAAGAATTCACGAAGAAAAATTGAATTTTCTGAATGGAATTCATTAATTCAAGGTTATTGGCGAGCAGTTTCTCTTGAAAATTTTGCTGTTCACTTCAAGAATATCAAAGAAATTTATGAGTTTATTGAACTTGGTAAACGAATTACAAAGGTGAAAGAAACCATTAGTAGGGCGTTCCTAAAGCATGAGGAAAGTGTTATGCAAGAAATTCGATCCAAGCTTCAAAATTGGTCTCCCGATAATAGGGCAAACGAAAATTCACGCCTTCGAAATGAATGTTTGAAGTTGGTTGAATTGGGGATAGAAGATGTCCTAAACTGTGATAACAACTCCAATTGTGGAGAATGTAAAAAAGTAAAAAAAGAACGGGTTGAACTGGAAGAGTACCTTAAGGAGAAAGATAATGAAAAAAGTGAAACGGAAACTAAACAAACCATTGAAAATTATATCAAACTTAATCATCAATCTGTATCCGATAAACTTACTCGAATGCTTTCAGCAATCATTATCTGAAAAGGTCTATCATCTGAATCTCTTGAAATAATCAACAGGCATTTAGAAAACATCATAAGAGATATGCCAAGTAGAGGATTGCCTGATCATGAACGTAAATGAAAAATTGAAGACATATGGAATGTACTGCGGTCTAACATATTATCAAAAGACAAGGCTATATCGGTAGAAAAACTAATAGATGATGATGTCAAATATTATTATAATCGATTGCCAGTGGAGCTTCATAATAAATACAAAAATGGAATCTATCCAGATTTATCTAAATGTAAAGCATATAAAGTATTTAGTTATAAGTCTTTAACTAAGTTCTCTTTATATTTAGAAGATAAAGACGTTCGTGATCTTCAGGGGAAGCTTGATAATTTGGCCGATCAAATCTTCAAAGAAAGAACTTCTCAACATTTTTATCCTGGTATTGTGAATGATCTTAAAAATTTAATAGACAAGACTCTCCGTAATTTTTCAAAAACTCTTGGCGCTTTTGATTCTGATTTCAAATGGAATGTTCATCTATATGTGTTGTTGAAGTTTAAACCAAAAATGAAGAAATTTCAAGACAATTGGGAGAAAAAAAATAGCCTCCTTGGTATACTTGATCAAAAGAAGGAAGAATACTTAAAGATAATTGATACTCGGCTTCAATATGGACATTCGCTTGTTTCTGAGGGTCATATTGTTGGGGATTATTTATTGAGAGTTATTCATAAAAAAGCAATGAAGGCGGGAAACTCTGAACGTGTAAGAGCGATCAGTGACGTAGCTTGGATGACTAATTCAGAAACCGTTAGACTCAAATATTTTGAGGAACTTGCCGATCAAGTTCAAAAGGGTAATAAAGAAACAGCTATACGTCACTTTTCAATTTCCGAACTTTCTATAGAAAATTGGTTTATACGTACCGTTAATAGTAATAAAAATGGAAATCCAGAACAAAAATACAGAGAGACTTTTAATGCAGAATTCGAGCGAGTTCTTCAGGATATTCGTAACTGTAAAAATTTTGAGGAAATTAAAGTATACGTAAATAATTATATGACACAAGTTGATAAAGTGGACTATAAGTTGGATATTAAGCATACCTTATTAAAAGACGGAAGCATACAAATCTTCCAACGTACAATCGAGAAAGAACTTGAAAATAAAGAAAATGGTCATTATTCAAATCCCGAATCTTTTGAAGATCCATCTGATAATAAATCAATTATGAAACGACTCGGATGTACAGAGGCATGTCATTGGTGCGGGGCTTTGTGCTGGGGATCTCGAGATCATCATGAAAATAGCGACACAACGAAAGTTCATCATACTAGTCATCAACCCCATGGTCTTTCTGGAATAACACATAGAGATACACGTGAACTTAGGGCAATGCCATGTCATAAAATGACAGATGCTTGGACTGTGTGGTATATTGGTGGTAAGGAGAATGGTACAATATGGAGTGAAGCAATATCTCGAGATTTTTCGGATTGGAAATTCGAAGCTCATTGCAATCAAATTTTTAATGAACTTATGTGCTGGTTTTTTGAAAAGTTGCATCATGATTTGGCAGCTAAATGGAATTGTAAACCATCACCTTGTAATGAAATGAGAGATCACGGTTGTTTAAATTTGAATTATGATAGTATTATTAGCACGATCAGAACTAAATTTTAATGATATTACCAAAGTAATTCAAAACAATTAAGTCTGTCAAGATTTATATTTTTCATATTATTTCTCATCCATATGTATATCGCAAAATAACAAAATTAATTAACTTGTAGTGAATCATTGTAATTTCAATAAATTTAACAGGAACAAAATGAACTCTGATAAATGTTTACCCCGATCTCCTGAAGTTAACTGAATTAGGAATTCGAGTTAACTCATCATTCAAGTCGTGTGCTCTCATTATAGTCATTATCCTTCGCGAGATCTTTCATAAATGATGAAAATTAAACATCATTGTTAGCAAAATTTCATTATTTAATAACAAAACTTTATTATTTTATAGAAATTATTCAGCTAAGTGACACGTGACCTCACGTTACTTTGCATGAAAATTTAAACTTAAATTTGTTTTGTGTCACTAAATTATTCCAAATTTAACTGTTTTTGTATCCATAAAAATGAAATTTTTTTGGGACCAACTTTATCATTTATCAGTTATCAACATAAAATTGAAATTATATTTTGTTTTTTTTTACGCAGAATGGTTGATAATAAAGTTATAAAAATACACAAACAATGGCATTCGATTCTAGGTGAAGAAATACCTTTAATTGAACCTTACAATTATGTTAAACTCAATGAAATTTTTCCACCTCCAAAATTACCGGTTACTGGAAAAAATGGGACTGTAATCGAAGTTCTTCCATACATCCGGCAGAAAGTTAAGATGTGGGGAGCTGATGTTCTTAGAGCAGAAAATATTAAAACTTTGATCGAGGAAGCTGATGATGTTTCTGATAAGGAATTTTCTGATGTTGAATCAATGGATGAAGACCAAGATTTTCTGCAAAAAAATAAATTGTCTCGATTTGATTGCATTGCTAGTTTGCTTGCGTCTTCCGAGTGTACTGTAGCTCAGGATATCTTCCAAACCTTATCACAATTTCCAATTGCATTTCCATTAATAATGCCTGGATTAGTTGATGCGAATAATTTCAAAGTGTTGCTTCCTTTGCTTATCGGCCCAGTGATCAAATGGGAAACGAAACCAGGAACAATAATTGAAAATCACCTTTTCAGTGATCCATTCAAAATGATTGTCGCCGTCCGAATTGGAGCCAGCTCTCCGGGTAAAAGCTCGATTATAAATCAGTTGATGACTTCAGATTCTATGTTCTCCTCAAGCAGTGAACCAAGAGCAGAATATGGGATTCCACATATGGTCAGTGGAAGCGTCGAGTTTACTTGGTTAACTCAAGAAACTTGTGGCGTTAGTTTATGGAATGAAGTTTTTAAAAATTACTACAAGGAAGGGACAAAAGAAATTGTGTTATTTGCAAATTTACATGGCGATGCCTTGGATTATCCAAACCAAATTCGATTTTTAAAGCAATTTCCATCTAGTTTCTTGGTTTTCTTAATGCCTGGTTATACTGATGATCAAGTTGATACTTTTAAGAACATAGTGGATACCAATAAAATTGTATATTGCTGGGTGAATCACAAGAAGAAGAAAAAGTATTCAATCGATACCACACTTTTAACAAAAGATCAAACGTTAAAAAAGGTACGACATTTGTTTAAAGAAGCCTTAGATTTTACTTTACCTTTCAAATATAATAAATTAACGCTAAGAGATTCACTTCATTTGGGAGAAACGCTTCAATTTACTGAAAGTATTGAACTTTCAGAGTCTCAGCTTTTGATAGATTTTGTTAAACAAAAAACTTGTCGTCACATTAAGCTACAAATTATACAACAAAGAAAACAATCCGATAACGGTCACCAAATTTGGCAAGAAAATGATGAAATGCATAGTTTAATATTTTTGTTCATTGACATTCTAAATCTACCTCTCGGTAAAAGAATACGAGCTCTGGCACACCTTGAAAGAGAAGTATCCATGCTCTCTATGGTAGAATCCTCAGAAGCTCGGAATAAGGCTTTATTGAAAAGAGAAGAATTACGTAAAACCAGCTTAGACAATAGGAATCAAAAAAGTGAGGAAAGTATTAGAAGAGAAATTGCAAAAATTTGGGCAGAAGTTTGTAATATAAGTTTAGGTATGGAGCATTTGTTCCGCGAATTGGGTAGAATATATTTTTCCGTCCATTATCAATCGCACGATACTGTTTTGAAACTACCACAACTTTATGCTGAACTTCTGATTAGCGGTCACACTATAGAGTTGCTTGATGGTGACGCTGGTGCTATATCTGAAGCCTGGTTCTCGGCAATTTGTAACTGCATTTGTAAAAAGTTTCCAAAGCTTCGAATTTTTGTGATCAGCATACTAGGTCTACAATCATCGGGAAAGTCAACTCTTTTGAACGCTCTTTTTGCATGTAGATTTGCAGTTTCTGTTGGACGTTGCACGAGAGGTCTATTCATGTGTCTATTATTCTTGGAAAAAAATTTATCAGATCAACTCGGTGTTGACGCATTTGTCTTGATTGATACTGAAGGTCTTGGTGCACCAGAAAAGATGGATGATCCGGAATCAGAAAAGAAAGATCGTATCTTAGCAACCTTTGCAATGGGTGTAAGCAATTTAACCATTCTCAATGTACTTGGAGAATCAACTCGAGACTTGACTGAGATCTTACAGATAGCTATTGTGACAATGGCTCGTCTTAAAAAAGCAGAGATGACACCCGATATTCTTATGGTACAACATGTATCTGAACGAAGTAAAGCAAAACTTTCTGAGCCAGAAGAACAGTTTCGAATAGCTCTGCAGGACGCTTTGAAACTAACCAACGAAAAAGACATTGAGATGGGAATTTTCAACACAAAATGTCTTCATATTCTTGATGAAAGAATAAAAAAAGGTCAGCTCCTTAAACAATTTCGACCATTTAAAAATGGTGCAACTACTTATGCCCCACCTTCAGAGCAATATCACGAGGATGTTGTTAATTTGTATGAATCCATACTTGCCGATTGTAAGAATTCACGAAGAAAAATTGAATTCTCTAAATGGAATTCATTAATTCAAGGTTATTGGCGAGCAGTCTCTCTTGAAAATTTTTCTGTTCACTTCAAAAATATCAGAGAAATTTATGAGTTTATAGAACTTGGCAAACGAATTACAAAGGTGAAAGAAACCATTAGCAGAGCATTCCTTAAGCACGAGGAAAAGATTATGCAAGAAGTACGATCCAAGTTTCAGTGTTGGTCTCCCGAAAATTCATGTCTCCAAAATGAATGTTCGGAGTTGATTGAATCTCGTCTAGATGGTGTACTAAATTGTGATAATAACTCAAATTGTGTAGAGTGTAAAAAAACGAAAAAAGAAAGGGTTGAATTGGAAGAATACCTTAAAGATACGGATAATGAAAAAACTGAAACGGAAACTAAACAAACCATTACAAATTATATCCAAATTAATCGTCAATCTGTATCCGAGAAACTTACGCGAATGCTTTCAGCAATCATTATCCGAAAGGGCCTTTCATCTGAATCTCTTGAAATAATCAACAGGCATTTAGAAAACATCATAAGAGATATGCCAAGTAGAGGATTGCCTGATCATGAACGTAAACGAAAAATTGAAGAAATATGGAATGTACTGCGGTCTAACATATCGTCAAAAGACAAGCCTAAATCGGTAGATAAGGCAATTGATGATGAGGTAGAATCTTGTTATAATCAATTGCCATTGGAGCTTAAAAATAAATACAAAGATAGAATTTTTCCAGATTTATTTAAGCTTAAAGCATATAAAGTGATAGTTTACAAGTCTATAACTAATTTCTCTCAATATATGGAAGAGGGAGTTGTCCATGACCTTCAGGCAAAGCTTGATAATTTAGCTGATAAAATCTTCAAAGAAAATTCTCAACATTATTATCCTGGTATTGTGTATGCTCTCAAAAGCTCAATAGATAAGACGCTCAGTACTTTTTCAAAATATTATATCTCTCTTTATTCTGATTTCAAATGGAATTGCCATCTATATGCTTTGTTAAAGTTTAAGCACAAAATGATGAGATTTCAAGAAAACTGGGAGAAGGAAAATAGTTCCCTTGGTATACTTGACCAAAAGAAGGAAAAGTACTTAAAGATCATTGATACTCGGCTTCAATATGGGCATTCGCTTGTTTCTGAGGGTCATATTGTTGGTGACTATTTATTGAGAGTTATTCATAAAAAAGCAATGAAGGCAGGAAACTCTGAACGTGTAAGAGCGGTCAGTGACATAGCTTGGATGACTAATTCAGAAACCGTTAGACTCAAATATTTTGAGGAACTTGCCGATCAAGTTCAAAGGGGTGATAAACAAGAGGCTATAAGTTACTTTATTTGGCCTGAATATTATATAGAAACTTGGTTTATATGTACAGTTGATAATAATGCATGTGGAAACCCAAAACAAAAGTTCGAAGAGACTTTTAATGCAGAATTCGAGCGAGTTTTTCAGGAGATTCGTAACTGTAAATGTTTTGAGAAAATCAAAGTATACGTAAATAATTATATGACACAAGTTGATAAAGTAGATTATAAGTTGGATCTTGAGCATACACTATTAAAAGATGTAAACTTAATATTATTTCAACGTGCAATCGAGGAAGAGCTTAAAAATAAGAAGGATGGTTATTTTTCAAATCCCGAACCTTTTGAAAATCCATCTGATGACAAATCAATTATGAAACGACTCGGATGTACAGAGGCATGTCATTGGTGCGGGGCTTTGTGCTGGGGATCTCGAGATCATCATGAACATAGCGACACAACGAAAATGCATCATACTTGTCATCAACCCCGAGGTCTTTCTGGAACAAGCAATAAGAATACACGTGAACTTAGTGCAATACCATGTCATAAAATGACGGATGGTGAATGTGTGTGTTATGCAGGGTATGATGGTAAGGAAAAAAAATTAAAATGGGGGGATGCAAAAACTCACGATTTTTCGGATTGGAAATTTGAAGCTCACTGCAATCAAACGTTCAATGATCTTATGTGCTGGTTTTTCGAAAAGTTGAATCATGATTTAGCACCTAAATGGCAAAATAAACCATCAACTTATAAAGAATTGAAGAATTACGGTTGTCTAAACTTGAATTATGATAGTATTATTAACATGATTAGAACTAAACTTACCCTATAATCTTTACATATTTCTTTTGAAAGTTGTTAATATTTTCTAAATACAAAAATTGTTTTTTCTATTTTATTGTTAGTAATTACAATACTGTTTTCAACTTTAAAAGAAATCACAATATGGAATTATTATTATATTAGGAATTGATATATCATTCATAATTTGAGAAACTAGTAAGAAATTGAATTTATCACGTGACTTTAATAATACTAAAAATCTTGACTCACTTTGATAAGTTATTTTGTATCCAATTGACGATGGGAACTGATTTTATATTATATAAAAAATTTTAAGCCTTTGCTTTAAAATCTTAATAAACATAAAATTTCTCCCGTAAGAGATTTAGACATACCGTGAAAGAGATAATGGCAATCGTGAAGAAGGATAAAAATGATCCTACTCCCATTCCCACTGCATCAAGTAGTTTTAAGTAAATAAAAATTTTGTAAAAATCAGGTTTAACTTGAGTTCATTTTCATTTTTTAAATTTAAATAAAGACATTTATGAAAAAGAATTTATTTTGCTTCGCTGGTAAACTATAATTGTTTATTCTCCTATTTTAACGGCTCTTTGTATTATATAATTAACAAATTCTTATTATAAATATTCTGAAATGCATGTGATATTAATTTAATAAGCTTAGAAATACATATTCAAAAAAAATTAAATAAAAAAAAAATAAATATTATTGCATTCCAGTAAATAAAAATAACATTATTATTTTTACTCTTTAAGTGCATATAAAACTAGGGAACGGTTGAGCCAATGTTTCGGGCTAAACCACTTTTCCAAATCCTAAACATTTCGGGTTTTGATGAACATGATCCTAAACTCCGTAACTTAAGCGAAACTTAAATATAAAACCAATAAATTTAAAAATGCAATACTAAGTAAGGTCCAGCAAAAAACTTATTACGCGATTTTTTTCAGGCCGGAATTATGTAATGCCATCACAAAGTATACTAAAATTCCGGGCGACATTATCTATAAAAGGAAAAATCTATTTATATTCAAGCATATAATCTAGTAATTACCGATTTTTTTTATTATATTTGCTATGGCAATATTGATAAATTATAATTATTATCGAAATATGATATATTACTCATATAATTGAGGAGTTTCGGATATATGATTTAGTTTCGGAATTAATTTCGGCTTTGGGCAATTGGTTCGGAGTTTCGGAGAATTGCATCCTCAGGCGAAACCTATTTCGGACAGTTTCGGTGGGCGAAAGGTTTAGGTTTAGCCCGAATCATCCGAATCATTAGATTGAGAGGACGACAACGGGGCATCTGTATCGCCGTGCAATAATCAAATGATCTCAATACCTAAATACTGTAAATAAATACCTTCTATGAATATCAAAGACGCTAAATATCCTCACTTTTCAGAAAATTTTGATCATTGATTCTATTTGATTGATGATAAAAATATAAAAAAAAGGATTGTCTTCAATCCTTTCATGTAAAGTTTTTTATAAAATAAATTCCTCTCTTTCTTTCGTTTCTTCGCTAGACAATAATAGAAGATAAGTGAAGACATAATTTTTTCGATTGTTAATCATGGAAATCGTCCAAATATTTAATAAAAAAAACTAGGTGAATTTTATAGGGAATTAATTGGATAAGCTTAACGGATCATATGTTCGTAACTTAGCAAACCACCCATATAGTAGAAGATAAATATAACTTTATCTTAAAATCACTCATGATAATTATGATAACATTTGACGAAGATTATGGTTGTAAAAGAAAAGATGCGAACTAAAAATTTCAAATAGATCTGGTCAATCAAACAATCTGAATATCATATAATGATATGGTATGGTTTATCTTGAAGAGAGGATATTGAATGATTAGTATTTTATTGAAAAAGTTTAATAAATGGGAATTTGGGATATTGGATATACTTGGGCAACAACTATATTCGCGAACGAGTCAGGAGGTTGAGAAATTTCTTTGATTAAATGATGAATGATTGGAAGAAAAAATTTGTTCTGGATTATGGACGATGTTAAATTAATGTCAATGCCTCTACTTATGAATTAATATAAAAAAAACCAAAGTTAACGCAATAAAAGTAATGAAATGTAATGGTAACAAATGGTCATATGTGAATATTACAAACAATGGTTCTGTCACTGAGAACTTTTCGTACAAATTATTATGGAGTTAGCAAGATCACATGTTTATGGCGTAATTTTTTCTTTTTTTATTTCATCAAATTAGTCTTGGCAGTGAAAGTTTAATATGGGACATGCTACTTTATCTTAACCCTTTGGTTCTATAAGTATTTTTTAAGAAATAACATCTTTTTGCGATAAATGTTTTTGAAATTTGTTCTCCTTTTCTTTGAGGAATTAATTAGAATTGCTGCTAAAGAATCGTACGCAGAATATACATTTTTTTTACAAGAAAATTGCTAAAGGAAATTGAAAGAAATGCACTTTCCATGATCTATACATTCATTTGGTCAGTCGGTCGAAATCCGAAATTATCAATTCACAATAATTTTTGATAAATAAAACCAAACAGTTAGATTTAAATCACATGCTGTGTCACAACGGTAAAATTCAGAACTGCTTGTTCTCATTTTGATTCAGATCTTTATAAATGCATACAAAAACTATTGATGGTGTTTCTAAGTCTACCCAAAGTAATACTAAACTTTCTTTATATAGTGCATTGATATTACAAAATTTCGTAGCTTAACTATCAGACGATTATGTAATGAAATAACTTTATAAATAATTAACCTGTATATTACAAGATCAAAAGAAGGCTTCTTTTAAGCAAATATCAAACTTACTATGTATGGTTTACCTCAACTTCCATTTATTTACTTAAAAATTTGTCAGCCGATCTATGATTGTCAATCATATATAAATAAGTTATAAAGTGTTTCAATGAGATCATATTATGATGTCCTTTGTCTAAAAATAATAATGAAATCCTTTGTAGCAGCAGTACAAAATTATTATAATAGAGTTATAGAAAAGGATAAATTTGATCAGAAGTAGAGATGAATTATTCCCGATCCAGGATATGTTGCTACTTTTTAATATTTCTAACTAACGTCATGTTGTGTAATTAACCCTTATCATAAACAATTATGTGTATGGGAAAATGTACTTTTTATTGATCAATCCAACAAATTTTTTATATTACAATGATCATACAACAATGATGCATACAAGCAAGAAAACTCTAATAACCTTTAATTTATGGATAAATGACGTTTCTGATAAGGTTAGTGTGTGATTTTACTATCTGTTCAAGAACATGAGATTTGGATTTTTATCAAAATTACTTTTTTTGGATAACCCACATGCGTTAAACTTTGAATGAATTAGACAAAAATAGCAAAGAAAAAAATGTGTCTTTGTTAAAAATACGGTTAGTGACCAAAATCGGAACAAAGGGCTTTTCCAATCTTAAAAAGTTATTTAAAATTGATCACTCAATTTGGGCATGGTGAAACTTAATTTTTCGGATCTTCGGTATCAACCCAAATAAAATTGATAGATCCAGAGAAATGGCATTCTAAAAACTAAAATGAGGAATCATGTATATATATATATATTTATTTTATAATCTAATAAAGTAATATATTTGAAATTGTCAACTGCGAGAATTCGAGAAATCTGCTTATAAAAGTGCAACAGAATTTTTTTCCTTGATTATGCAAATAAAAAAAAAAGGAAAAAAGGAAAAAATAAATAAATCAAATAAACAAATATTCTAATACGATGAGCATGTTTCAATCACCATTATCTGAAACTCCAAGTGCGAGAGATTATATCGATATTATGGTTGATATAAGAAACCTCGGGATATTTAGTAACTTTGAAGAACATACTCCTACAATTGTCGTATTCGGTGATCAATCAAGCGGTAAAAGTTCCGTTATGACAAGATTAACCGGTGGCTTGCCAATGCCAAGGTAACAAATTTTACATAAATTTCTTGAACTATGTCGTTTATAAAACATTATCGTATCATTACAGAGGATCTTCAAAATGCACATCGACTCCTTTCGAAATACGTATGTTACAAACCGAAGAGCCAATACGTAGAATCACATTGCGTTACATAGAAGACAGAAATCGTAGAGCGATACCACCAAGAGAAGTAGAATTTGCTGACATAACGAACTCGAGTAAAGCGGATATCGAAAAAAAATTGCGTGACGCTCAACGTTATTTACAAAATCCAAGTATTAGAGATATCAAATCAATGTTGCCTGCTGATCCAAGTAATGATGAGTTGCCTTTTACAAAAAATGCTGTATGTCTTACAATTGGTGGGCCTACGCAAAAGTATAGTTTGTCTATGGTTGATTTACCAGGTAAATGAAAGTAATATGATAACAAATATATATTATATATATATTTATTTACCACATTTCATTATTTAACAGTTAACGCGTATTTTTTTTTTCGCACTTCGTTTGAACGTCTTATTCAGGAATCGTACGAAACGTTGAAGATAACGAAAAATTTGTAATTGCCTTGGTAAAAGAATATATTAAAAGAGACTCGGCAATACTTGTTCCAATATTTCAGGCAACATCAGATATTGCTACACAATGCGCGTGGCGTCTTGCACGTGAAGCAGATCCGAATGGTTTGCGTACAGTAGGTGCCTTAACAAAGATTGATCGAATCATCGATTACCCAAATGATGATGAAAAACATTTGGAACTCGCTAATCTAGTAAAAGGTAAAGGAGACCATCAAATTGTAAATGGTGTTTATGTTATAAGAAATCGATCTAGCGTAGAACCTGACGATGCTGATGATACATTGGAAAATGATACAATTAGGGAACTCAAAAAACACAAAACTTGGAAAGATGTACCAATCAATAGGTTTGGCTTACAATATTTAGTCATGAAATTAAGTGAATTACAAGGACAGGCTCATAAACGGTCATGGCCAAGAATAAGTCCCCTATTGGAAACTAGTAGAGATGATTATGAAGAAAGATTAAATAGCCTTCCGCATAAACCTATTGGAAACCCAACCATACGTTTCTTGGAATTAATTGGAAAATTTGACAAAAAGTTCACTTGTCACGCAAATGCCGAACATGTAGATCATAAGTTGTATCGTGGACAACAATGGAACTTTGGTCAATTTGATCAAGCATTATTAGACACTCGTCCAATATATAAACTCACTTTTGACGAAGGGAGATTGAATACCGAAATTTTTGATCCCATAAAACCTGGTTCATTGCAATATCGTGGATGGGCAGGTGATTTAAGAGAAGAAGAATGGGAAGAATTTGATTTTGACAATGATGTTAGTGAAAAATATGTGTGGACAATAGATCAACTTTATGAAGCTGTTCAAGAAAGTCAAGGAGGTCTATTGGTTGGTTATTTTCCATATAAAGCCGTAGTATCTATTGTTGGAAAACATCAAAAGGAATGGCTTCAGATTTCTACCAAATTATTGAATAAAAATCACGATTGGGTTGCCAATTTTACCGATGAATTGATAGAAATTACTTTCAAAGAATTTCCAAACGTTATTGGAGAAATCAAGTAGGAACATTTTTTTTTACGCTCTTTGCACGTGATTTGCGACAATAGATTGATTTTTAAAACAATAAATAATAGGAACGTTCTACGTGAATTATTAAGAAAGTGCAAAGATGAAACGTTAAAACATCTTAAAGATCTTGAAGAGATGGAGCATATGTCAGCTAGTAGGGCTCTTTATGTAACTGATGAAGCCAGCCTTTTGAAAAAGCAATCAAAATATTTTATAAAGCTCCGAATTTTGGCAGCTAGCTCTAGACAAACGAATCAAGAATTAAAAGAAGTTCTTGAATTAGGGACCAAATTGTTTGACATGATGTATGATGAGGACGCTAGTGATCATGACTTTGATAAAGCAAAAAACGATTTAATCGATCATATTTCACAACGGGAAAACTTTAATGATGTTTCAACTCAAAGATTAATTGATGAAATAAAAAGTCTTAAACTTGCAGCAGAAACACCATCAACTGCTACTATATCTGCGATGTTGACTATAAAAAATTCATATTTAGATAGATTAATTCGCATAATTCCCGAATCTGAACATTCTAGAAATCACAGTATTCTAAAAAATACCATCAACGAACATGCTTTTCTTGCTGCTACGGTACGTCCTTTAACATAATATCTGATATCACGTGTTAAATATTAATATTTTTGCGAAACAATTTTTTTTTCATTTTTTTTTTTAGGGAGCCTTAGCATATTGGAAAATGTCACATTCAAAATTTCGAGAGATCGTACCACGTATAGTAGAATTTTATCTCGTACATCAATTCGCTATACGTTTAGGAATGCATTTACGTACCCATTTCAGACTATTAGGAGCAGAACCAACAAATCAACCATCAGATCTAATTAATGATATAGACTTAGAGAGTTTATTAGGTGAAGATCCATCGGTAGCTAAAAATCGTGCAGAATGGCAAAAGAATTTTCATGCTCTTAATGGTATTATTGATCGAGTTCGAAAATCTTCTGTAAGAAGTTATAACCTAAATCAAAATAATAATAGTAGTGGTCGTGGTGGTACCGGTGGTACTGGTGGTACTGGTGGAAGTAGTGGTGGTGGCGGTGGAAATGGTGGTGGTGGTGGTAGTCGAAGGAGATAAAAAAGTTCAGTTTCATGATATGTCAAAAAAACTTTAACTGATTTTTTTTTTAACTAAAATTTATCTTATGTATCTTATGTAAAATTACTTGTCGCGCGTTATAATTTACCACTTATTTTTATAGCCTTACAATATCTTAAATTTTTGTTTCGTACTGTATTTTTAAAAACAATAAAAATTTTTTTTGATAAGAAGTGAAAGCTGAAAGATCTTTAAAATTATCTATTTATCTTATGAAATAAAAAAAATAGAAAGTTTTATAAAAAAAATCATTGACGAATCTAATCAATCAAACTGAATCAAACAATAATTTATCTTAAAAAACAATATATAACCTAAGGAGGCCTGAGGTATATATAATTCAACGATCTACCACCACTGCTACCCTCGCGTTTGTAGCGAATCCCGAAAGAGGAACACAAAGTCTGATAATTTATTTCTATCTATTATATTATCTTATGTAGTTCGACCTGGTTGACAACAGAGTTTTTAGCTATAACAATAACTCTTTGAATTAGACTTATAAAATTCTACAATACAATTCTTATTCTACACTTCACATAAAAATTTACATATTTGTTACTAACGGAATTAAAAAAAAAAATATATATATTTTTTTTTATGCGATCTAATCATTAAAGAATAAATAAAACACTTATAATTCGTCTAAAAATAAAAAAATGTACCATTTGCCATCCATTAGGTAATGTAAACTCCGAAGATAAATCAAAAAAATGAATCTGAACTGAACCGATCTGTAATCTTGAATAATCCGATCTGAACTGAAAATTTTTAAATAATCTGAAAATTCAATTATTCATTTAATAAAAACCATTTCTAAAGTCAAATGTGATTTTACTAATCATTTTAGTTATTCTGAAAATTCAGATGTGACTTTTACTAATAATTTTTTATAAAGTCATTTCAAAAGTTTAGATATGATTTTTACTAATCATTTTAATCACTTCAAAAATTTAATTATGACTTTTACTATTAATTTTTTATAAAAGTTGCATTTGAACTTTTAGAATAAAAAAATTAATAATGGTATCTAAATTTTAAAATAATTAAAACAACTAGTAAAAACTCATATCTAAATTTTTAAAGTAATTAAAAAACTAGTCAATAATCTTATCTGAACTTTTATAGTAACTTTTATAAAAAAATTTAATAGAAAAAGTCATATCCAAAATTTCAGAATAATTAAAATAACTAGTAAAAATCAAATCCAAAATTTTAGATGCTATTTTTTTATTAAATTTTTTATAAAAGTTATTCTGAAAGTTTAAATATAATGTTTGCTAATCTTTTAATCACTTTAAACTTTCAGAATGACTTTTATTTCTTAGACTTTATAGCAGGCAAATTTGTTTACGAAATTAAAACAAATGGGAGACAGTCAGTAGAAAAGGAGAAAATTCAAAATTTTTATTAATTTTTATTATTAAGCCAAATTTATGCATATAATCGAGATTAGCCAAGTGGTCTAATAATATAAATTTTGACTAAATTTAGATTTCTCCCTTTTCTACTGATATCCTTTCAAATGTTAATTTCTTTATAAAATATTAAATATTAATTTTAATAATACCATTACTATTATTATATAAAAAATATAATTTAATATAATTTATCAACTTTATTAATAAAGATTTTAAGTCTTATAAAAGGTTTTTAAAATAATTTAATTAAAATTAAAATTAAGTTTCAAAATTTTTATTATAATAATTTTTTAAAAATTTTTTAAAAATTTATATTATATACTAATTAACTTACTTTATCATTAATTAAAGTTATAAAATTTCTTAATAAATTATAAAATTATAATAATAAAGGTTTTTTTTATAAATAATTTTATAATATTTTATTATAATTAATAGTTATAAATAAATTCTAAAAAGTTTATTATATGAAATTTTTTTACAGCTAATTTCATAATTCATAGACCATTAATAATTTTTCAGTCGCATTCAGTCGCAATATTTTATAGTAATTTTATTATAAAATATTTTCAGTCGCATTCAGTCGCAATTTATTAGTGGTCCACGAATTATGAAATTAGCTGTAATAATTTTTCAGTCGCATTCAGTCACAATATTTTATAGTAATTTTATTATAAAATATTTTCAGTCGCATTCAGTCGCAATTTATTAGTGGTTCACAAATTATGAAATTAGCTGTAACTTAAATTTTTTTTTAAAAATTACAAATTTTTAGCTTCTAAGTAATATTAAATTTTTTTATTATATAATTAAAAGATAAAACTTATTATAATATATTACATATTTATTAAAATTAATTTAAAAAAAAATATTTTAAAATATTAATTCTTTATAAAAATAAATCAGAAGAGAATTTATAGTAAATAAGTAAGCAAATTGCATGTAAAGCTCTATGATATAAAAGATAAAATAATTAATAATAAAAATCTAAATTTTTAGAATAACTAAAAACTAGTAAAAGTCACATCCAAATTTTCAAAATATATAAAATAATTAGTAAAAAGTCATATTCAAATTTTTAGAGTGACTAAAACTACTATTAAAATCATATTTAAACTTTTAGAATGACTTTTACTAATTATTTTAATTACTTTAAAAGTTTAAATGCAATTTTTATTAATAATTTAATAATTCTAAAATTCAGATAGACCAGAAAAAACTTTGGATTAATCTGAAAGTTTTGAATTAAATTTATTTAATTCAGATTTTTTTAATTTGAATTAAATTAGAATCTGAAAAAATTAAAACTAATCCAAAATTTTTTTAAATTAATTTTTTTATAATCTGAACTGAACTGAAATAAAAAATCTGTTCTTTTTGAAACTTTACTTATGATATTAATGATGGTTGGAAAAAAGATTAATAATTTTTTTATCAATTACTTTAATATTTCTATTAATTTAACTAATACATATTAAATAAATTATAAATTGATGTAATAATTTTACATTTAATTTATATTCATATTTTAATTATTTGATGATATAAAACTTTTTATTTTAATATGTATTTTTTTTAGTTTTATAAGCTAAGTTTCAGAAATATGATACTTTTATAATCTGATTATTTTTTGATAATTTGATAGTTTTATTCTAATAACAATATGCTGATGTTAAATTTATATTATAATATATATATAATTGACATATAAAATATATATCTATTTGATAATTTCTTGGTAAAATTAAAGTAAAATCATTTTTTTATGAATAAAAATTACATAATATTAATTTTTTAATTAAAAATTTTACTATAATTTAATTGGTAAATATTATAGTTACATATATTCAATATATTTAGGAGTTTGAATTATAATAATATTTAAAAAAGATTAATCTTTAAATCTAATAATTTTTTTAAAATTAACCAAGACTAATTAGAACTTTTTTATCCTTAATTATAATGCACCAATTTGCTTTATTTAGGTTATATAAAAAGCAAAATTTTATATAATATATATTTAAAATCTAAAAATTGTTATTTTAAGACTTTATGTACTTTTGATGAAAAATAATTTTTTTAATACTGACCTGAATTAAAACATATGGAAGGTGGTCAGTAGAAAAGAAGAAAATCCAAAATTTTTGTTAATTTTTATTATTAAGCTAAATTTGTATACATGATCAAGATCAACCAAATAGTTTAATAATATAAATTTTGATCAAAATTTGATTTTCTCCTTTTCTACTGATTACTTCCTATATGACAAAGTAAATGAAAGTTATATAGATCATATGATGTCATATACTAACACTCACTAGTCGAAATAATCCATTTCGTCACTTTTTTAAAGTGTCGAATGTTGGCCAAAATATAGTCTAATTTCTGCCGATCATTTCTAAAACAATCGGCATTTTTAGTAATAGCCGAAGTTGCACATTTTCATGCCACACAAAAAACCATTCGACATTAACAATTGATAGTTATTTGAAATATCACTAAGCAAAATAATACAATTCGTCACATTTAAAGTGCCGAAAGTTGGTCAAAATATAGTCTAATTCTGCTGATCATTGCCAAAATAATTAGCACTTTGAGTAAATAGAAAATCAGTTATCAATCAACATTTATGTTAAAAATTGGTCAAAATTCAGCATAAATCAGCTTAAAATCGGTCAACAATCAGCAAAAATCAATTAAAAAATCGAAACTAATAAAACTAATTTTTGTTTATTTATGATTTATAATTTT